AGGGGGGGGGGGGTTTGGATCGCGCAACCAAAAAGCAGTACATTTATGGATCGCCATTACAAAAAGGTTGGGAAACACTGCCCTGAGAGAACATTTTCTATCTTTTAAATTTTATTACATTTTTAAATAATATTAACCCCTAACGCCCTCCCCTTAGGCATGCCCCTGTATATATAGATCATAAATAGTAAACTTTTTAGATTTTTGTTTAATGTTAAGACAGATAATATTGATGAATTTAATTATAAATAAAATATACTCATCAATTTCATACTTATACTTAATTTTATACTTAAAACATTAACGAAAAATTATGCAATTAATGATGATTCTATTTTAATTCAGATTAAATCAAGTTTAATAACCTATTCAGTTCAGTAACTGAAACTTTTATAAATGGTTTAAAAATAAAATAAAATTTATAAAAAATAATCAATTGGACAAATATTTAATTATTTTTGCAAATAAACAATTAAGTAATTAATCATCAACAAAATATTAATGTCATTTAAACGTTATATTTGTATTCACATACAATTAAAACATTGTGTAAGGGCCTAAAAATTATTATTGAAGATAATATTTTGCAATAAAACAATTAAAACATTAAATTTAATATACATGGAAATACTTATTACTTTTCTTGAAAAAAAAAAAGTGTGATAAGAACTTACAAAAAATATTTGATTGAATAATATAATTTAAGATAACAATTTAAATTATAAATGTTTTTTTTTAAATATAATTATTATAATAAAATGAAAATATCATAGAACAAAGAATTAAGAAAATAACAATTATTTAATGAACATGAATATGTCTTTTTTTTAAAAAATGTTCTAAATATCAAAATAATTATAATTATTATTATAATAAGTTATTAACTACTGTCAATATACTAATTATTAAAATTTAGAAAAATAGAGAAAATATTCTATAAAAAATGTTAAAATTTAAAACTACAACAATGCAATAAGTTTAATAAAAATGTATAAAACAAAGCTTTTGTATAGTAAAATGATTACAAAAGATTTTATAAAATTATATTATTATAGGTATATAATAATAGGAATATAAGTGTTTTATATTTAAATTTAGAAGTATAATTTCTTATACAATAAACTAAAAAAATTATAATCCATGAAAAATAAGAATGTGAATTTATATTAAAGTAAGAAATAATCTTATTTTATAATAATATATGATTTCTATTCTGTAAATCTTGTTACAATTGAAATTTATAAATTTATAGCTTATAAAAGTTTTAATTATAAGTTTATAAATTGTAATTAATATTGTTCCATTCAATAAAAATAAAGGAGTAATATGAAATAATATTAGAAAAGATTATAAAATAACCACTTGATACATAAATCACATACTTAGTAATTTATAAAAAAAAATGTAAAATGAGATAATTTAAAATATAAGGTATATACTTTATATTAAAAAATCATGAGTACTACACCTTAAGTCTTGGCAACATAAACAATGATAATAAAAATAATTGTGAAAACTTAAAATATTTTTCTAATATTACATCTGATTATAATTTATATTGACAATTTTTTTTTTTTTTTTTATGTGCTAAAATGGTAAAATTACTCTAATTAAAATGTTCATATTGTTTCATGTGAAATATATGCATAGATAATTGCATATCATGGCAAATATGTAATAAGTTTTTTACCCCTGATCTATATCTTTAAATAGTATAAGTATGTAGTAAAATATATGAAAAGGAAAATTATAAAAAAATAAAATGAAGCATGAATAAAATTTTGAAAAAAGATCTATCACTAATATGATAAGAGATTACACCTTTCAATTTATTAATTATTTAATTATTTTAATTGATATATTAACCTAGTAAACTTTAGTATTCTACAAGAATTTCTGAGAATTACAATAATAAAAACTAAATTCAAAAACAAAAATGACACAATTTAGCATGGGTTGTACTAAAAATAATAAGTTTTTTTACACAACTAAGGTTACTGGGTATTTGATATATAAAATACTATAATACACCTGAGGATCAAGGTTCAAATCCAATATATATTTATGCAAGTCATCAGTGAAACACTGAAAAATTCCGATTTATATGATAAATATAAATTGCAATAATTAATATCCATAATATCAATAACGAATTAAGCTTTTAATTAGAGTTTTCTCTAAACCTTAAGTTTAATATTAACAGCAGTTTGAAAAACTCACTATTAATCTTAAAAATCAGTCACCTATTTATATTTAAATCATACCTGTACTTTAAGTATAATAATATGATTAGTTTTTTATGTATAAATGTAGACAAGACTTACCAAAACTGAGTGCATGCCCAAGTATAAACGACTAAGTGAAATTAACAAACACCATAAAAGTACTATAACAATGCCAATACTATAGTTAATCTATAAGAAAAAATAAAATTGATATAAAATAGTTTTTATTTAAAAAAGTTATAACTTATTGAAAGATCAATCACTTGATATCGATTTGATATATAATGTAAAATAGAAAATGGTAAAGCAAGACTGATTATTGCGTGAGTTGATGGCATTCCATATTCAATGGACCATTTTGTTTGCAGTCTAACAACTGGAGGACATGCTGGTCTTGGCCATTGTACTATATCTTTAATGGACTGACCTAAATGAAAACCATAATGAAAAAAAAACATTATCTAGTTAACATAATCAATAAACAATACCAATATACATGACGACAGCCCAGACAAGTACCATTTTCCTTGCAACCGCCGAGTCTACATTCCAAATCAAAAATGGTATGATAATTGAATATCCAATTTCATCACCAAGATACGTGCCGAACAAATACAAATAATACCAAAAGTGATTGGTAATATAATGATCAATCTCATTTTCCTTTCGCACAACACTGCTGTTGGTTTTGGATTGGCCATTTTCAAGGTTTGGTAACATGGTGCCATTCTCTGAGATCTCATAGCGTAAGACTCCGAAAAATCTTTGAAAACGAGCAACCAACTCTGGATCTTTCAAATAATTAATACAACCCCTGATGTTGTTCATGCTTATTATACTAAACTAAAAACTATGCAGACACAGCTAATATAAACAATGTAACGCTGTAAACTATTCGGGTTGAGACTTCGGTGTGGAACGCATAACAATAAAAAAATAATAAGGAAAAAATATAAATAAAAGATAGTAAAGGAATTATTATTATTCTAGATTACTAATAGAACGTTATCTTAACAAACGCTGGGAGAACAATTTTAATTTCGAACACGATAGTTGCTCACAAACTGTATGGTAATTTGACAGCCATTTGATTAATTTATGTAAATCACATTCTTTCGTTTCATTAATTCTATACATACTAAACATATTATTTCACTAGTTTCACGGACGGCATACCGAACAGCAACGAAGAGCTGACCGGTGATGACATTAACTACAATACTGAATACACTACAAACCGTACAAATGTTGATTTTTTTTATTTTTTTTATTTGAAAACCTCATCACAACCAATGATGGTATTTGGTATGATGGTAATTGATAACCGTATCACAGAATACATTACTTTTATTTTTAATCATTAAATTTAAACTGTTGCCTGTTGCCCATTGCTTTAGGTATTGCCATTATTATATTCTGTGATATTGCCAATTAATATTTAATTATTAAATAATAGTATTCGACAATATTTAAAGCAATGGGCAACAGGCAACAGTCTAAATTAAATGATTAAAAATAAAAATATTGTATTCCGTGATATATATATATATATATATATATATATATATTCAGTACTCGACTTGTGAGGGACATAGGGCGACGGAGTATTTTAATTTTCTGAAATCTTAGTGTCCCCTTACTATAATTACGTTAAAATTATAACGTTTTTTTTTTAAAGTTTTGGGAATTTTTTTTTTTTTTAATTTAACAGAGTCCCCCTTTTTTAATTTTGCCAAGACGAGCACTGCGAATACCGATTGCAAATATCAACTAGACCTTAATGATAATATTAAAACATTTCTCACTATACATCAATTGTTCAACTATAAAAGTACAATATTTAATCAACGGTTGTACACGCATGTACACAGTTATTATCAAAAAAACTTTTTCTAATATTTTATTGAAATCCATGATGAACTTTTATATGACTATTATATGAATGACATTATTAAGAATGTTTTCCAAAATCAAAAAAACTTAAAATAACTACTTATTTTTAAATTTTAGATAGGAAATCCCGATTTCAACGAGGTGTGGAGTACGGTCGCAATCGGAGGGGAATGAACCGAAGTACAATAAATGTATTTTATTTTTTTTCGTACCTACATACGTGCGACAAGATGCACCAGGTCTAGGTTTCATTTTGTCATTATTATTTACACTAATGTATATATACGGTTACGGTCGGATGGCTAATAAAAATTAATTGCTAGCAATCTGAGGTCAGTTGATGAGATCCGTGAATAAAATATTTAGTGTCATTACACACGGCTGTTTGACGAGCACAATGAATACTGATCTACGGCCTCCGCGTTATTATAGATTATTGTTTTAATAATAGCCATTATGTGCCAGCCTCCAACAACGTTGAACGTTTAACACTAAAACACTGGCACCACGAACAGACCGCGTGCAAATACCGTGATACTACGTTAGTATTATTATAGTGTTGTATATGAATTAGTAATGTTGACCGAGATTAAAACGAGAGATATCCTTTCGAATATCAAATAAGCAATAAGCAATCCAAATCGCCCGAACATCAAATACGGAAAAATAACATAATTATATTCAAACCTCAGAATAAGTGAAATTATAGATTTCGTATTTAAACAAATCCAGAAGAAATAAATCAAAAGAGATAAAGAAAAAAATGAATAATAAATATTTCCGTGATAAAACCATGTATGAAGTAGAGTAAGACTACAGCATTTTTGAGCACATGAGTATAACCATACAAAAAATTGTAATTCAATACTTAGTAATTTAGATACAACCTCGCTTTAAGCAAAACTCTGAGATTTTAAACAATAGGAACAATTTTATTGTTTAAAATATCAAGCTCAACTAGTTCGATACATACTACTCAGATCACTAATTACATTATGTATATTTATACCATAGTTATTTACTCAAGTAAATAATCGAGATTACTTATAGATTGCTACTGCAATAAATATCATGTTGCGCTGTTGCACTATAATTTTGATAATGATAGGTGGCGATAATAATTATCGGATAATAACTTAGGATAATTATTATCCTAATATTTTATTTATTTCACCCAAAAAAAATAATTGTAATTACATAATAACAATAAGTAAATTATTATGTTAAGAATACATTAACAATAGCTGATACGTATACCAACTGAGCTAAGATTATATCTGGTATACGGCGTTCTTATAAATTATAATTCTTATTGTAGTAAGATTATTTAATATAATAATATAATTGAAGGTAAGATTTAATTAATTAATATTAAGTAAATACAAATTTTATAGAAAATGTTTTAGTAGCATATTTAGCATATACATATTCAAATAAGATCTTATAATTAGACATATTCAGTGGTGTATTTAGGAATTTCAGGGTAAGGGCAACCCATATTTTGCCCCCCAAGTCAAAAAAAAAATGTTGTTACTAATTAATATGATTTATTAAAACCTCTATAAACTGCTAGGTATACAATATAAATACAAAATTTAAATCTTTTTCTTCCTTGCAAAATCATTAATTATTTTTTTCAAAATCTAATAAAGTGGTTATTTCAGCTTCAATTGTTAATACCGCTAAAGCCAAGCACCGGTCTTGTGCCATTGTAGAGCGAAAATTGTTTTTTATTCTTTTTAGCGTGGAAAAAAAACTCTCTGCACTATAATTTGTAGATGGTGTGCACAAAAAAATACGTAAAGCAACTTCAGCATAAAGATTAACACTAGTAAAATTATGTTCTCTTATAAACTGTAACATCTGTATTGTTGTAAGCTTAACTTCAATATTTTTTATATGGCCTTAAAATTGTATACACTCATTTAGAAAACATGTTGTTAAATCATTTGCGTGAGTTTGTATCAGTGTGTAAAGTAAGAAATAAAAATTGTCCGCCTCTCTAAATCTTTAAAAATGTGCCGCTCTGGGCAACGGAACCCATGGCCCCTAATTAAATACGCCCCAGGACATATTGACTTTTTAAAATTTCATTAATACACACATTCTCATCTAGACCATTAACTATTTTATTCCCGTTATTATTTTATTAACTGTTTTATTTCCCGTCCATTACCATTACATTTTTTCTATTTTACTGCTGTAATATTGTTCTTATGCCTTTTGAATAAGTATCGTTAATTTATTTCCATATGTTTTGTAATAATTTATTAATTTAAAATTTGATGTATCCTTTTTCATTTTTAAATTAATCAAAAAAACATCAATATTTTTTTAAAAATCCAATATATCGATACTATCGATGTTTACAATTTCGATATATCGAAATATCGATGTTCAAAATATTTTGCCCATCCAAAGTTGAAAGAAGCTTTTCAACTCTGGGAGACTAAAAACTTACGTACAAAATCAACGTGGAAACATCCGATTAACTGGATTAGCTTTAATAACTATCCATCGTAAAATAGTACAAAAAAAAAATGTAAAATGTAAATTGTACTGTAACATTAATTATATTGTAAAAAATTGTATAAAATAAAAAATAGAAAAATTATTTACCGGGTTGCATTTATTTTATTCAATTGTATTTCAATAGTTCATTAAAATGTTTTAAGGTTCTAAATTTATGGCTCCATGCTTATTAAGAGTTAATAATATAATAAATAAATTATAATTGTATGATACATTTTATTCATAACATATTTTATTATAAAAATAGTCAAGTAGACATCAAGAGCGTATTTAAGTTGAGGCCATGGCCAAGTACTAAATTGAATTAAGTATTTATTTAATAAATATATTTAAAACCTACTGCATATAAAATAAGTATTAATAATAAAAACACAAATAGTTCTTATATTAAAATTGTACCTTCAGTCTGAATCCTGTAAAAAAAAAAACAAAAAATTATCATAGTAGTAATAGTACTTATTAATTATTTTTTAAATACTTTTTAAAACAATTAAGATAGGGAACTTAATTTAACAAATATCTAAGTAGAAAACATATGGTTGGTAAGTAGTCAAATAACAAATTCCAAATTTCTTTTTTCATTTTGGCAAATTTGTTGATTGTTTCATCAATGAATACAATAATATTTTTAAACACATGCAATAAAGTCAAACCTTTTAGTCTATGCTGGCCTATTCTTGCTCTTAACCATGTTTTCAATTTACAAAAATATATTTTTGGCCAATATTTGCAAGTTAAAGTTAGGCGTAGGGAATGTGGCGCACCCATCGCCCGATGTACTTCGCAGTGTATTACAATAGCCCAACACTGCCTTTAATTAGGTGGTGTGGACTGGTCCTCTAGGTTGGAGGTTTAGCGCAGGGCTAACAGCCCTGCCTTGTAAAAATCTTTTGTTGAGGACCCAAACAACAACATGCCTCGGACATATAGATTCAATGGAAAAAACGAGCGAACACAGGAAACAAGATTTACTCTTTGGAACATGGAATTTACGGACAATGTCCCAACCTGGAACAGCTATAAGTGTAGTCAAGGAAATTGAGAAATATAAAGTCAAGATAGTAGCATTACAAGAAATCAGATGGAATGACGAAGGAACCATAGACATAAATGATACCACTATTCTGTATGGTAAGTACAATGAAAGACGACAGTTTGGGGTTGGTTTAGCAGTATGCAAAAGCCTAGTGCATACGATAAAAGAGTTCAAAGTTATCAACTATAGAATTGCTATTCTTATAGTTAAGGCCAAGCTTTTTGATATAATATTTATATATGTACATGCACCAACGGAGGAGAAGTCACAAGAGGAAAAAGAAGAATTTTATGCAGAGATAGAAGATATCTTGTCGAGAATAAATAATAGCAAAATCCGAATTATACTGGGTGATATGAATGCAAAAATAGGAAAAGAACAGTTCCTTAAACTTACCATAGGGAAGTATAGCTTATACGAAACAACAAACGATAATGATATAAAACTAATAGACCTTGTAACTGGCAAAGGATTCAGGATAATGAACACAATGTTGCCCCATAAGGATATAAATAAAAGTACATGGAGGTCACCAGATGGACAATATATCAATCAAATTGACCATATCCTAGTGAATGAGAGATTCACAAATACTGTCAACGATGTACGAGTATATAGGGGAACAGATTGTAACTCAGACCACTATTAGGTAGTTGGGAAGCTCAATATCAAGCTGAAGGCGAGACAACAGATTGATGACTCCAACTGTGTCAAATATGAAAAAAACAAAGCTCGAGAATGAAGAGATATGTAAAGCTTTACAAACCGAAGTGGGGAGATTGACACAATTAACAGATATTAATGAGACTCATACTATTGAATTCCTTTGGGGGATAATAAAAAACATCATTACGAAGACATCAGAAAAAATTATCAGAAAACGAGGGAAATCTAAAAGGAAACCATGGTTTAATACAGTGTGCAAAGAAGCCATAATAAGAAGAAAAGAAGCGAGATGGTTAACAGATACAACAAACCAACTCAACGGAATACGATACACTACAAGAAGAAAGGAAGCCCATGATATCTGCAGAGGAGAAAAAAATAAAGTATATAAATAAAATTATAGAAATGGCAGAATCGGATCACAGAGCACACAGAAGTAGACAATTGTACCAGAAAGTCAATGGGATGAGAAAAGGATATAAATGATATGAAACATTTATAAGAAATTAGGATGGAGAACTGATAACAACAAAGATGGAAATATCAGAAAGATGGGCAGAAGATTTTGAACATTTGCTGAATGGAGAAAACCCTGAAGGAATCTATGATTGTATACAAGAACAACCCAATAATTGTGAATATAAAACACTTACGTTACAAGAAATTAAGACACAAATTAAGAGATTAAAAAACCATAAATCACCTAACGAGATGGTATACAAGGCGAAATCCTAAAATGTGTTGATGAAATAATAATTAAGATGATTCATAAACTAATTGAGAAAATTTGGAATACTGAACAGATCCCTAAAGATTGAAATATGGCATTAATTTGCCCTATACACAAAAAGGATGATGAAAAAAATGTAACAACTATAGAGGTATTGCCTTAGTGAATATAACTTATAAAATTCTATCGTATTTCATTCTAGATAGAATTAAGCCATTGACGGAAAATATCATAGATGACTATCAAGGTGGTTTTAGAGAAAATAAATCCACAGTAGACCAAATATTTATTATAAGACAACTAGCTCAAAAAAACTTAGGAATTCGATCAAGAACTACATACACTTTTTGTAGATTTCAAAAAGGTGTATGATCGTATCAACAGAGAAAGTATATACAAAATTTTAGAACATTTCCGCATCCCACAAAAACGTATAGGATTAATTAAGGCCACATTAAATGGGACCATGGTAAAAGTGAAAGTTGGTAACATACTATCAAGAGAAATTCAGGTGAATACAGGCCTACGGCAAGGTGATGCACTATCTCTAATTATTTTTAATTTAGTTATGGAAAAAGTAATTAGAATGATGAATATCTCACCAGATGAAGGGATAAAACTTGATGGAACGTCAATAAGTATTTTAGCATACGCAGATGACATAGTGCTTTTAGGGATTGATATAAATACAGTGAAAAGTCTATGCGAAAGACTTATAACAGGTCATGTGTGGAAAAACCTGTTGCTATAACACAGACAGTCTTACAAGAGAATCCAAGACGGAAAATACCACTGGGAAGACCCCGAATGCGATGGGAGGATTGTGTCAAAAAAGATATAACAGATTTCTACTCGGAGGAAGATTGGCATATACTAACGCAAAATCATGAAGGATGGAGGCAGTTATGTTTGGATGTGTGATCTAAAAGGCCGTAAAAAAAAAAAAAAATTTGCAAATAAAAGAATATAGATACAAATATTGTCAGTTATTATGATTATTATTTGGATTAGGGGCTTCTAACTCTATAAAATACACAAATATGTATGCATTTGTGCACAAAAAAATGACTAAATACCTATGCATAATAAAAAGTATCAGATATTATGTTGTAAAAAAAACTAAACGAGTAAAATTATTAAGGACTTATATAAATCTAATAAATACAAAAATATACAATGTGCATATACGTACCAAAAAATGACTAACTAGTAAATATGTGGTAAAAAAAGTGTTTTTTTTTTTATTTTTATTATAAAGAACAAGGCCTCGACAACATAGGTCATTGGCCGCGAATGATGATTACACATTAATTAATACATTATAGGTAAATAATTATAAATATATAGTAGGTAACAAAACTATATGAATTAGAAGCGAAAGAAGCAAAATACAGAGAATAAAAGTTAAATGGTTTTGTATAAATTGGTGTCTCTTATAAAACTTAGTGTACTGTTGATATTTTGAGGTTCATTGTTGAGACATACGGCGATGCTACTTGGAATATTGTGTTTAGTTCTTTCTTCATTAAATTGGCGGCATTCTAAAAGGATATGTTTGATGGAGATATTGGATCCGCAGGTGATGCATGGTTCTGAGTCTGTTTTGTCCATGAGGTGTTTGTGGGTATGCCAGGAGTGTCCAATCCTTAAGCGGGTTAGAATTACTTCTTGTTGTCTAGTTATGTTTGATGGGTTAATCCATCTATCGGTGATGGGTTTAATCTCTCTTAATTTGTTGTCCCTCAGAAAATGCCATTCCTTACGCCATAAGTTTGATATGATATTTTTGGCTTCTCTTTTAAGATCATTTTTAGAAAGCAAGTTCAATATTTCGATGGTTTGATCACTGGTTGCTTGTTTTGCCATCATGTCTGCTCTTTCGTTACCTTCAATTCCGGTGTGGCTAGAAATCCATGTTAGTGTTATAAGTTTATTAGTATTGTTGAGAAGATTAATAATATTATTGGTAATTTCGTTATTTTTTTTGGGGGTTTTGGATACTTAAAAGTGTTATTTTAAATTACTTTATATTATCTGATAAATACCTCGGTTATGGTTATAAATGTCTATAACCGTAGCAATATCCATGGAAGATAATACCACTATTCGTTCCACAACCAAAAATGTTATGATATAAGAAGATAAACAAAAATTTATACCCGTGACTTTATTGACATATTATATTATTAAATGTATTATCATACTATAATGATAGACTAGTAATTTATATTCTTAATTATTTATACATTACATTTTTTAAGTAAATCAATGTATTATATTCAAAAAAAATACGAGACATGAGGGAGAGGCGAATGCCCTCTTCGCTCCCCACAAATACGCCCTTGTTAGACATATATATAAAATAGTCAAGTCTACATCATATATCCTTTGTTCATAAATACAAGATTATACTTACTATAAGAAACAGTGTCGTATATTCAATCTTGCTTTTTTTTTTTTTTTTTTTTTTTTTTTTTTTTTGGGGGGGTTAACAAAAATAATAAATAAAAGTATAGTAAAATATAAAGTTAATCTTAGATAGTAGTGGTAAATTAACTCTGTCCATAGTAGCCACTCCTGAAAATATTTTCTGTATACGCCACTGTTAAGGATGGGATATTAAGTAGGTTAAAATTACTTAAAAATTTATGTAGATTGCGACCTTGGGTATCGGCAGTGTTATTACCCCAAAATGGATGTTTTAAATTGAAGTTGCCTCCTATAAAATAATTTTTATTGAGAGAAGAAAATAAATCATTTAAGAAGTATTCGTTGATTGGATTTCCGAGAGGGAAATATGCAGCAAAAATGGTAGTAATTGTGTTGTTAATGTTAATTTGGATATTTGAACTTTGTATTGATTGGTTAGCAGTCGGGAGACTGATACTGTGTTTAATATTATTACGTAAAAGATTGCTAAGCTACCGCGAGCAGTGCCGTCGGGGTGGTCAGTTCGGATAATGGAGTAATTTAATAAGAATAAGGTTTTGTTTGGTATAAAATGTGTTTCAGTGATAAGTGCAATGTCTATATTTCTGGAGTTGAGGCAAAAATGCAGATTGTGCTAATGGTTTTGTAGGCCATTTGCGTTCCAAAGGAGGAATGAAATAGGTGAATTATTTAAGTGTGTCTAAGTAATTTTATTAGTAATGAGTCGAAGACTTTAGTAAGTAATGAAATAAGAGGACTTGTTAAAGATTTAAATTGGACTAAAAAATTGGTTAATTGAGTTGAAATGTTTCTTGAAACTGAAATCCTTCCTCTGTCCAGAATTTAAAAGATATAAGCTAGAATATTGAAAACTAAAAATGTCGAATGATTAATTTACTTAAAATTAAACAACGTGTGAAATGTTACTAAGAATTTACTTAAAAGTTTTAACTGATCTTATATCTTAAATATTTTTATTGTAAAACCACTACGATGACCTCTGCTATAGCTTACAGAATAATTTTTGTATACGTATTAGTATATATCTAATAATATTAATACTATGAATTGCTAGTACTGCTATTTGTTATTTTTTTTTAAATTAAATTTTATATCAATTATATATAAGTTAACAAAGAAGATACAATTTATTTTAATTATAGACAAATAGACGAGTATCTAACAAAAATGTTAAAAAAAACCTATATCAAAAATATTTTTTTATATATTTTATTATAGCCACTAAAAAATTCTATAAATAAATATACATATTATTGGTAAATATGTTTTATCAATAACGTGATGTAAGTATATAATAAATATTGCATTCATTAATTACTTATCTAAAAACTGGGAAAATTGCTTTGACATATTGATCTACAGTTGATAAATAAATACTTGTTATTAGATTTTTTAGTTCAAGTTTAATAAACCTAAATCGAGTATATTTAAATATTATCAAATTTTTTTAACATATATTTTTTTATTCCTATGTAATTCATTTAAAATCATTGATTATAAATATGTAATTTTTCAATTTTAAGATAATTATATAATTTACTAAATTATATATTAAGATAACTTTTTATAACAAATAATTTCTTTAATTATGAATTAAAGTAAATGTATTAAAAACGATTTTAATTATTTTATTATACACACATTTTTTTGTAACTTTTCTGGGTAAAATATGTATACCAGCACAAAGTTAAGTTATTACAATAACACAATACACGAGCAATACCAAATTATGAGTAATACATTTTCAATTACTTAATAATAATAATAATTACATTTTAGATTGCGCATTACCGAAGTCATATGGGCATAAACGTGCGCACGGGATAGTCAGCGTAGTCACTTCCCAAGTGAACAACCCTTCCCTCTAACCTTCCCTTCTCTACAAAATATTCATTATAATCACAATAATGAATAACCATATTATGTTCAATCACTTCGAAACGTCCGTAAATGGTAAATACATGTATAAGAGTATTGGAAAAATATAATTATTGAAGTTATCCCATTCAAATTTGTTGTTAATATTAAATATTAATGTGTTATGTATGACTACGCTACCACTTATGTCTGAGCACGCTTATGCATATGGGTAATTCATAAACAAGGCCGTTGAAAGGGAGGGCATTAGGACTATTTAGTCCCAAGCACCATTCCTTTTTTTTTTAACTATGGTAAAGCTTGGAACATCCGAGTTGGGTCCCGAGTACTAGGGGCTAATCACAGATAGTGTACTATTTGGGTCCCGGATTTTTATAAGTACTACACTAGTTGGGTCCTGAATTATTTTACACTAGTACCTGAATATTTTTTAGTAAGTATTACATTAAACTAACATTTTCCTTCCAATTTTAACATACTTAGGACCAGTGGTGGACTGAACTTAAATTTTAAATGACGCAATTTCATATTTAAATATATACAACCACCCCCTTATCAAGGCTGTACCTAGAACAAATTTTTGGGGAGTGGGGGGGATAATTTAAAAAATTAAAATATTAAATTAAAAAAAACTGATGTTAAATTTCTAAGTTTGTGTAAAATGGTAGACAATTTCGGGTGGGGGGAGGGTTGAACCTCCACAGGTACGGCCTTAAACCTAATGTCAAACCTCACAAATCCATGGGGCTATCCTCCACCTCTCGGTTTCCAAATTTACTCGTATTATGATACAAATAATATTATACTTTCTACAATTATGTATTAGGTCCTAGTTAGATGTAGATACTGTTTAGGTTATAATAATTAATATATTACAATTTACAATACGTACCATCAATAATAAATTAGTAGAATATGCTGTAAAAGTCTAGTATACATTATTTACTTATAAAAAGTTAGCATGTAATTCCACGCTATCGCCACTAGCACGGGGTGCCGGGTAGTACCATCCCCAATAAAAAGTTGACGCAGCTGCGTCAAACTTGACCCCTTCAGTCCGCCACTGCTTAGTACTGTCTATGACCTATTTAGACCACAGATATGGTTAAAAATGTTTTTATAGTTTCTGTTTTATTAAAATATAAATTATTAGAATTGTGTTGGTAAAAATATTAAAAATATTAAAATTGTATTAATATTATTGTATAATATTTTTAATTATTATAATATTCTTATTACTTAATAATACTTTATATTATTATATAAATTATAGAATTTTAAAAAAATGTGGTCCTGTGGTCTAAATAGATCATAGACAGTTCTAAGTCTGTTAAAATGGGAAAGAAAATGTTAGTATAATGGGGTTTAGTAAGTTCCCACACGAAACATAGCAGATAGCGGTTACATATGTAAGTTCTTTTACGAAAAATATTATACCGAACACAAGCTTCCTTTTAATTTTAATTTAATTTTAATAACTAGTCATATTTGAGGTAACTCCCCAGAAGTGTATATTCTATTGAATAATTTAGTGAGCCAGGATACCCCTTCTTCATCTATTAACTTTAAAAATTCACCATATATATTATCTGGACCAGGAGATTTGTCCTTTTTAATTTGTGCTATAGCTCTTACTACTTCTTCTATCATTATAGGTAAGTTTTCCATCTGACTAAAATCAGGTACCCTTTTTGGTCTACTTATATCTTCATAAAGTTGTTCAATGTAATTTCTCCAAGTATTCATTATCTCTTTTTTGTCTACAATGATTTTGTCATTTTCATCATGCAATCTCCCCATCGTATTTGACTTATACGTTCCTGCTGCTTCCTTTACTTTTTTATGTAAATTGTATCTATCATGTTTTCTTTCCAAATTTTTAATTTCTACACATTGATTTTTCATCCATATTTCCTTTGCTTTACGTATTTCCCTTTTTAAACATTTTTGGCTCTCTTTATATTTTTCTGGGTCATTTTTTAATATTCTTCTTACTTCCATCATTTGCAATATTTTCTCTGTCATCCATTTTTTTTTTATTTTTATTAATTTCCAAATTGTCTTTGCCAATGCTCTATAACGCATTAGTCAATTTCTGAAAAGTTTCCTCTACATTGTTGTTTTCTCTTTCTAAGACTCTGCAAACGTTCCCAATATTTTTTGTAATTTTTTCATATGTTTCATTTTCTTCCAATCTTCTCATATCCCATTTTTTCTTATATTGATTTTTAATAAATTCTTTAAATCTTATTCTGAAACTACCAACTAAAGGATTATGATCTTATTCAATATCAGCACCAGGATATGTTTTTACTCGCAGCTATTCTTAAAACGCTTTTTTAATAAACATGTAATTAATTTGATTTCGAACTATGTCACCAGGTTGATCACGTGGTGATCTCCATGTGTATAAACGTCTTGGTGGCAAGTTAAAAAAAGGTGTTTAACACAGCTAAGTCTTCATCTTCAACAAAAATCTTCAATCTTTCTCCGCGTTCGTTTCAAACACCTAGACCATAATCACCAATGAGATCGCCACTTTTACCTTGTCCAATTTTAGCATTCATATCTCCT